AAAATTCTGGGGATTAAGGGTGTGTGCATCCTAACCCTGTACGCTACCTCTGAACTGCAAATACATTTTTTTTTTCCCCCAGTAATACAGATTTCCTTGCCAGCTCCTTTCAAATTTTATTTTGAGACAGGGTCTGGCTGGGCTCAAACTAATGATCCTCCTGGGATTATAGGCACGCTCCACCACTCCTGGCTTGTATTTTATTTTATTTTTTAAGGTTTGAGTTAGGACATTAGCTAGAAATAAGTCAGAAAGCACATGATCTAAAGATTAACATAGAAAACGATTTTATAAAGGAATATGAAGCTAAAACATTTCACTTCCATAGTATGCTAAGCAGCTTCCTACAGGGTCCTTGCAAGAGTCTTAAGATCTTTTCTGGAGGTCTTCTTTCCCCTCTGTCTTTCCCCTCTGCCTTCTTTGATTCTGTAGAAAGTGAGTCGGCTCCCTAGTTTCTAGGTTGGTTTTGTGGTTCTTTCTTTTCCTTGTTCATTCAGAAATGACACCGGATCCCACACCCGGAGGGCAAGCCGATGTGCACAGCCCCGCTCCAGCGCTCCCGCGGCCATCCTGCCTTTCCATCTAGGGCCCGCGCTACCCTTTCTCAGCAGCTGCGGTGCTTGGCCCCAGGCTCGCCCTCCCTACGCCTCAGTGTTTTCACGGGTGCAGGAAGCGCACGACCCTAGTGGCTCTGGCCAGAATGACACAGAGCGTGATTAAGCCCGAGCAGAGTGCACTGCCGGGCACCTGCTATGTCCCGGCTATTAGATGGCGCCTATTACTGGACTGCTGTGGCTATACTGTCGCTGTACCCTCGTGACCGCTCTGCTCGTGCCACGTGGGCTTTTGCCGAGCCACACCCATGCGGCACTGGAGAGTTCTGCCCCCTCCCACTGCTGCACACAAGCTTCCTCTCCTGCCACTTTAAGGGGCTGCCCCCTCAGAGTGTTCCCAGCAAAGTGGGTACCTTGGGTACCTTGAGGGGGAGTGCCCACGTGGCACGCAGATGGGGTCCAGATTCTTCTTGCTACTCTGCTGCTTTTGCGCCATGGGGGCTCAAGCCCTTTCTTTTTCACCAGACGTCAGGTGCTGTGCCTTCCTACCCTGAGAATCTAGTAATTCTCCTTACCCTGGGGACAAAAATAGAGGACGTGACCCACTGCCTGTGAAGACAGCACTTTCTCCAGCAAGGGTGCCAGGCTGTCTTTCTTTGTGTCTTTTTGTTAATGAAGGAAAATCCCTCAGTGATGTGCAGTGAAGCCCTGGTCTTAGCTTGAGTTGGCTAAAGGAGTGTAATAGTCCCATTTCTATATACATTTCGATAAGTTAGGTAATTTGAGGCCAAATTATCACCTCAGGAGTGCTAAGACTAAATGCAATGATGTCCAAGGAAAACTGCTGAGACAAAGTCCTTGCCTTGCAGGAAAAAGCAGAACCTCTACAAGAATACCTGTATACCAGAACCCACAGTATTACATTTTTTTTCCACTTTGCTTAAAATTTTTACTTATTTATTTATTTTATTTCTTGTTTGCTATTTTTTTCCATAATTTTGTTGAGAAACAAATAGCAAAGAGACAGTTTCAAACCAAATTGGTAGGACAGTTTCAATAATTAACACATTTCATACATTCTTCCTAGTGGTTAATTGCTGTATAAGATGTGGACTTGATATCCTATTTACA